TCCTCCTCCTTCTCCTCCTCCTCCTCCTCCTCCTACCTCATCCCTCCTCCTCCTCCTCCTCCTCCCCCTCCTCCTCCTTTGACTGTGCCAGCTCAGGGGGGAAACGTCGAGCTGGCAGCGGGATCGGCATGTGGGCGACCGACTGGGGGCCCTCTCGGGCCCGCCATCGGCGATGTGTGGGCGACCGGGGTCGATGCTGTCCCCGCGTCGGCCTAACCCCCCGGTTTTCGAGTCGTTTCGGCGGCGGGCGAGGGGGGAAGCGAGAAGGAGAAGGCCCTCTCAGAAGAAGGCGGCGGGACTTCCAAGACGCCCTCGCGTCTTCTGAGGGCTCTTCGTGCCTCCGGGGAAGGCTCAGAGGACTTCTCGGAAAGGGGCGACTCCAGAGCCTGCTGAGGAGGCCCGCTCCTTCTCACTTCCCCCGGGGCCCGCGGGGGATTGCGATGCAGCTGGGAGGCTGCAGAGAACGTCAGGTATGCAGGCGCTCTCGGCGGCTTTCCGGCCTCGGGGTGCTCTCTTACTAAAGCTGCGCGTCGCCGAGGGCGCTCCAGGGGTGCTCTCCTCCTCCGCCTCCTCCTCCTCCTCCTCCTTCTCCTCCTCCCTCCTCCCTCCTCCCTCCTCCTCCTCCTCCTCCTCCTCCTCCTCCTCCTCCTCCTCCTCCTCCTCGAACGGCTGCTGGAGGCTCGAGTTATGACCCGAAAACCACCACAGGCCCAGACATCTCCGGCCGCTCCAGTTTTTTTCCGATGCGTGGGCCCTGGAGGTCCAGGCCACTTCCCTACATGGCTGGCTTTTCGTCCGGAGCCGTTGTTGCTGACGGTCCTGAAGCCCGGCGAGAGCCCTCGGAGGCCGAAAACGGCCCCAAACCCGCCGCTCCAATGCTTCGGAGCCTCGGATCTCTGGGTCGAGCCGCGTCGCCGATGCATCGGCGATGCCGCGCGATCCTCCGACCCCGTTCTAGGAGGCGGGATGAAAAAGAGGCATAGGCTTAGGGACGAAACCTTATACATACCCCAGGCATGCCCAAATAATAATTACACAGTGCTAAAACAATGGTTCCCATACTATGTTTAAAACAACTCGTTTGGAACATTCCTCCTGTAGTGGAACAGACCCGACTTAATTTGGGTGACCCACAACGGGGTCCAGCTGAAAGGGGATGGTGAAATAGATTTGGGGCAATTGTTTTGCAAATGTATTGCGCCAGAGAACTGTATTGCATTGTATTGCAAGTAACCTATTGCACGCGAAAGTCCAGCAATACATTTGCGCCCCGGAATGCATTGCACACCTCAAATGTATTGCAACCCCACACATCTATTGCACCACTCCCTTGTCGCTGGACCCCCTTTTGGGTCAACCCGACTTGAGCATAGGCGACACCGAGGGATGGGGTGCCCCCGGGGGGCGAGGCGGGGTCCGCCGCGGCCTCCGGCCCCGGTGGCGGCGTCTAGTCGGGGCCGCCGCGCTCCTCAGACGCGCGGCGTCTATTGGTGTCCTGTGACGCGCTCCTGCTGGCAGGAGGAGGAGGAGGAGGCGCAGGAGGAGGAGGAGGAGGCGGAGGAGGAGGAGGAGGAGGAGGAGGAGGAGGAGGAGGGGGAAGAGGAGGGGGAAAAGAAGAGAAGAGAAGAGAAGAGAAGAGAAGAGAAGAGAAGAGAAGGAGGAGGGAGGAGGACGAGGAGGAGGAGGAGGAGGAGGAGGAGGAGGAGGAGGAGGTCTACAGGAGGACTTCAGGCTTCGGCCTGACCTAAGGAACGATACACACAAAGAACGAAGCCTCTTTTTGTTCCAAGTGGGTCCAGGAAGTCCGAGGGAACCCCAGGGGAGCTCGCCGCCAAAAAGGCAGCGGAACGCATACAAACCAAAGGAACGACCGAGCCCCTTTTGACAACCAAGTACTCCTTATCCAAGCCGGACCCTGTGTTCAAAAGAAGAAAAAAGAGTCTGGGAACGATTGTCCGTGCTCATTCGACTACTTCTGCACATGTCAGTGCGCGGCCCCCAGAGGTCCCGACCCCTTCTCAGGGACCGGCGTGCCATCCCGGCCCCTTCTTCTCGACGAAGCCGCGGCCCGGCTCGAGGGCCCCCATCGAGGCCGAAAACGGTCTAACCTCCTCCTCCTCCTCCTCCTCCTCCCTCCCTCCCTCCCTCCCTCCCTCCCTCCCTCCCTCCCTCCCTCCCTCCCTCCCCTCCCTTCCTTCCCTCCCTCCCTTCTCCCTAAAACCAACTTCCTCCTCAACCTCCGCCCCTTTTTTTTGTATTATATGTTATTTTGTTTGTGCGACGCAAGCGCGTCCGGGCCTGCCCGCCCCAGGGCCCGAAAAGGGCATCAGGCTTCCGTCCTGCAAACGTTGGACGCGAGCACGTCTTTCTTTCTTAAGCAAGCTATTGGGCCTCGAAGGCCCGAAGCGTCAGCGCAAGCATGTCTGGGTCTTCTCGTCGCTCCCGCCCTCGCTCGGCGGAGAACCTGGGGGGAAGTGAGAGGGGACGGTCTTTGAAGGGGCCCAAGGACACACAAAGAAACAGACACAGATCCCGGGATTCCCAAAATTTCTCCATACTTTCTGGAATTCCATCTTCCCTCCCACTTCCCTCATTTTCCCATTGATTGTGTCTGTGTGTGTTTTCCCCCTCCTGAGCCTTCTCAGAAGGCTCAAAAGTCCCCTGGCCTTTCTGAGAAGTTTCCCGAGCCTCCCCTGGAGACGCAGAAAGCCTTCCAGAAGGCCGGAGGGCTTCTGAGAAGTCCCGCCGCCTTCTGAGAAGGCCTTCTCCTTCTCTTACTCCCCCCCCCCCCCTCGGCCGCCGCCGACTCGCCTCCTGGAGCATCTCCCCGCGCTCGCGGATGCGCTCCACCTGCCGCGTGGCGTCCCTGACGGCCTTGTGGCCCCTCAGCGCCTCCTGCGCGCATCTCTGGGCGCGCGCCTCCAGTCTGGGGGCCCTCTCGCCGACCAGGACTGAACGCACAAAAGTCGGCGTCGATCTGGCAGCCCAGGCTCGGCGGCGAGCGACGGGGAGGGAGGTGCGCAGGAGAAGGCCTTCTCAGAAGGCGGCGGGACGTCTCGGAGGCGCTCCGGCCTTCTGACACGAGTGCTCCGCGATCTCGGGGGAGGCCTGGACACCTCCCAAGACTCTACGAGGGCCAGGGGGCCTCCGACCCAGACCCCCGACGTCATGATTTTTTCATGACGTCGACCCCCAGAGATCTCGACCCATTCCCCGGGACTGGTTTTGCATCCTGCGTCGTCTTTTGACGGCCCCGAGGCCCGGTGAGGGGCCCCAGAGGCCGAAAATTAGGAAAAACCTCCCGTCGTGATTTTTTCATTACTCGAGGGGGTCTGGGGAGCCTTCCGAGGAGGCCTGCTCCTTCGCATGCCTCCCCTGGGCTCGCCGCCGTCGCGTCGCGAGAAAAGCCTGACGGAGGGTCCTTCGCCACGTTCGGCCTCCCTGGGGGCCCCTCGCCGGGCGGGCCCCAGGACCACCAACTCCCCTGGCCTTCCAGGAGGGCTAAGAAATAGCACCCGACCTGAAAACCTATCTCGGAGCTATGCTACGCCTTGGTTTTTTAGGCTGTCTCGTTCAGTTTCTTTTCGGTTTTTAGGCCTCCGGTGCTAAAACATAGCTCTATGGAAGGTCAGGGTCTGGATGAAAAGGAGGAGGAGGAGGAGGAGGAGGAGGAGGAGGAGGAGGAGGAGGAGGAGGAGGAGGAGAAGGAGGATGAGGCGGAGGCGGAGGAGGAGGAGGAGGAGGAGGCCTTTCGGACGTCGCATGTCTGCGTCGGTGTTGATCTGGCACGGGGCTGCGCACCGACGGCCCTCCCAGGCAGCCCCCGGCGGGCCTCCACAGGCCACCCTAGAAAAATCCCAGCTGGCCTCCACAGGCCTCCCGAGCAGCACATGGGGCGGCCCTAACACCCTGGCGCCGCCACTGGCGGCGCCCCTGGCTTGGTGGTCCCCAAACGTGGTGGTGAGAACACCCGGTGGTGAGTTTTGGGCGATTTGGGTAATGTTTTTCGAGCGCTGGCTGGCCCAAGAAACGCAAAACCTCGTGGCGACCGCGTGTCCCCAAACCCGGTGGCGACCCAGAATTATTTTCTGGGGGAATCGGGGTCGCCACCGGGTGTCTCACCACCTGGTTTGGAGACCACCAACTGGCGTGCTCCGCGCACGGGTTGTTGAGACTGCTCCGGAACAGTCGGGGGGCCTTCTGAGGCCAGCTGGGGCTACCTGAGTCGGGGAGACGTGAGACTCGGGTACGGGGGACTCGGGTTGGCCTAACGGGGGCCTTGTGAAAATGACGAAGTCCAATCTGAAATTTGGCGCGGGCTCTCGCTGCAGACATCCTGCAAAAACCGGACCGTCAAAATCCTGGACGCGCTCGTCAAAAAACTTCGGCTAACCCGAGTTCTGGCTTACTCGGGTCTTACGTTTCCCCGACTGAGGGGGCTGTCTGTGCGCAGCCCAGAGCCTTACCAGCATCTCTGATTCGTGGGTCGTCCTCGCGGATCTGCTACAGTCGGCATGGACCATGACCAACGTCAGCGTCGACAAGCGACATCCCGGCCATGGCCACCGCATCTCCTACCTCGACACTCGGCTCTGGGCTACACTGGGCCACAGCAACATCGATGATCGAGCGCAAGATGGCGGGAATCGGCCCGGCCCGGCTTCCCGGCCAGATCCTGCGCAGACGCGGGGCCAGCGCCGCGCTGCAGGGGGTCTCGATAGCTAGCTTACTGGACGCTGCCAGAGAAGCGCTGGGCCACGCGCGCGAAGGTAGGCTTCCGAATGATCGAAGCAGCTATATCCGCGAGGCAAGGCTGGCCAACAAACAACATGCAAATATACACTCAGCCACCTACGAACACACGGCACCATGCTAAAACACTCGTTGATGCATCCACATGCGTGTGAGATTAGTGGTGATGCTTGTCCGTAACCTAACTAGGTTGAAACAACAAGCATAACACAGAGCGTCATCAGTCGAGCGTAGACAGTTCAGAACACACTTTCCGATACCACATGCTAGTCACATCCAAGTTCGATGTATACCGTACCTTCGGCTTGGCTCAACTAAGCCACGACATGAGAGGATGCACTGCTGTGAACTAGGATACCACGTATTTAACCACATTCCACCACTGACACAGCAAGAGAGGGAGAAGGAGAGAGAGAGAGAGAGAGAGAGATAGAGAGAAAGAGAAGGAGATGCAGGAAGAGAGAATGAGGCCACTTAGGTAGTCGCGCGTCAAGAATGTAAAGCAGCTCGCTAGTGGAAGATGGGTGCAAGGAATCACGAGGGTTTTTCTATGGCTTCATTCTCTCTGCTCTCTGCTTTCTACTCTAGACAGCGCGCGCTCCCCATTCATTTGACATACACGTGCATCGATTCATACATATATATATGTATGATTACATCGGTGTCGATTCATTTACATATCTGTATGCGCACTCATATGTATATATATATATATACATACACGTGTGTGTGTGTGTGTTTGTTTCCTCCGTCCTCTACTCTCCAGTATCTCCTCTACTGTCTGCTCTCTTCTCTCGCCTCTCAACCCTTTGCTCCATGCTCCCTGCTCCCTCCATTATGCAGTCCGCGCTGTGCCCCGTGTTCGCTATTCTCTACCTCGTATGACATACTCTCTTCTCTGTGCTCTCTCTGCTCGCTCTGCTGCTTCTACTACTTCATAATTCATAACTCTCTCCTCCTCTCTGTCTCTACTTTCGGTATTCTGTATTCTGGGAGCTCGGGGACCCAGAAAGCCACTGTAATCTGTGGAGTACCATCAGAATCTGGAACCAGGGACTCCCACATCTAGCCGCACATCGACATCCCACACATTGCCCCCAACACCTGAACATCTCGGGAATCTATGGAATCCAAAAACGGGAATCCAGGAACCCAATCGGCCGCCTCCCGAACTCGGCCTGACACCTCTGTCGATTCCTCACGGCATTTGCGAGACCTCCTTCAGCGCAGGCGCTCGTTGGGAGATCGAATGTGAGGTTGGAACCATTGGAAAATCCCACCGGCCCTCTGGGCGCAGGTGGTCTAGAGCGTTTCGTTTTCCAACCTCCTGCCTTTCCCTGCTCGGGAGGGGGGGGGCGACCCATAGCAGCGTCCAAGATGGCCCAAGATGGCTCCAAGAGGGCCCCCGACTCCAAGATTGCCTCCAACATGGCCCAAGATAGCGGCACATGGGTCAAAATAGCCTCAAACACACGCCCACGAGGCCTCAATACGGCCCCAAAACGGTTTCAACTGTCCTCCGGGGCCACCAAGGAAACCCCTTAAAGGCCAACGCCCTTCAAACACCGAAGGAGACGCCTCAAGATGGCCCGGGATGGCCGAAGATATCTCCAAAAAGGGCCCAAGGGGGGCCCCAAGACGGCCCCAAGAGCGCCTAAGACCGCTCCAACAGCGGGCCAAGAGAGCCCCCAAACGGCATTTGTTAGCCTCCGATGGAGGGGGGCAGAAATTAAGGACCCCCCTTTTTTGTGTTTTTTTTCTTCTTCTCACAACCGATGAGGTCCAAGCCGGCCGCAAGAGGCCCCTCAGGCATCCCAAAAGAGCCCGTAGAAGGCCCCCAGACCCACCAAAAACACCAAGAAGGCCCCAAGACGCCCCCAAAAAGCCCCAAGAGGGCTCCAAGAAGGCCCTAAGAGGACCTCAAGATAGCCTCAAGAAAGAGCTCCAGGAGGTCCCCAAGAGGGCCCCAAGAGAACCGCAAGAGAACCCCAAGATGGCTCCATGTACCGAAACGCGCGCGAGCTTAATACACAAATCAGTGCAACAGCCATTACGAGTCATCGAAACACCCTCACCCTAATCGAAGTACCAGCGTAGCTTGCACTGGTTTCCATCTTAAACTTCAACGCGGGAAGCTCTTTGTCATCCTTGCTTTCCCGAAGACGGCTGCGCAACTGCGTGCGTCCTGCCGCCTCTGATTCACCGACCCCCTGCTGATCGTTGCTGGATGGTCTGGCGGGGGTAATTTTTTGATCGCGTGAGTCGCGGACACAACCGCGCGCCGTCGGGAACGTCGCGTAAGTCGCATGAAAAGCGCAGGCCGGTGTCACAGGCGGCACGCAGGAGAAGGGCCACGACGGCGGCGAGAATTACACAACGGGGGGGAGAAGGAACAAGAGACACAATAGAAGAGCGAGGCGACGAGAAACGGCGAACGAACAGACAGAAGCGGCAGCGGCAACGAAGCAGAGAGAAAGGAAGACATAACCGGAGAATAGAAGGCTAAGCCGCAGCTTGGGCTCATACCAAGTAGTGCACGACCGCACCTTGCCGAACAGCCTGCGCTTGTCGTAACTCTCAACATGCTCGAACCAATCCACTCGGATGCGGTGTCGCGAGAGGTGAGGGGACCACGGAGTTGACCTGCGGCAGCGGGGGCGGGCGGTGGCGTAGGGCCCTTGCAGCCAAGCTGGTGGCGATACTCTTGTGGTCAACAGGCTCGCGAGGCGGGTCGAAACCCGTCCGAACACTAGTCGGGCCGCGAGTAGGCAGCCGGAAAAGAAAGGCAAGCGAAGCGAGCGAGCGGGCAGCCACTCAGAAGGAGAGCCAACACCGATACTCCCAAACCCGGTGGCGTTGGAAATCCCGGTGGCGACCAGCAAGTAAGCGCAGCCAAAATGGCGCGGCGGCGCGACCATAAACACGCAAAGACCAATCGCTCGGTGTGAGTCAGGGAAACAGCACCGTCAGAGACGAACTAGACCAACAGGCGCACCCAGACGACATCCGTGAAGCAGTCGACACAAATGCCCAAACATCGTGTCGGCACAAGAATGAAGAGGGGGAACCTCATCACCGACAAGACTGCAAACCGCAGTACAACGTGTAACACTTGTCGAAAGCGAAGTCCATGCAGGAGAACG